TTTCTGCCACCATGCCTTGCAGTCGTGCCTCCAACCTACGCTTGTCGGAAGCCTGACGTTGCAATTTCTGGCTCTTGCTCTCTAGTTCTTGCTGAAGATTACGCTTGTCTTCTTCATAAATCGTCGCAGTTTTCTCCAAAATCTCAATCTGGAGGAAGGGAGGAAGGACTTGGCTATGCTTCTTAGAAGGGCAACCGTTTAAGCCCAGAATTGCTAGTTCTATTTGACTGTTAACATATACTAGAATATATTAGCTGTTGTACAAATATAGCCAGGTAAACAGTCCACATTCCAAAAAGTTTCAGAGATTTTACAACTTTCTTATAACTTGCCCATCTTAACGTATTGAGAAAAGCCTCACCTCATAAGAAAGCCACAAAGCTAAGAATGTTCAGTAAAGTTCCCCACAAAATACTTTAAATCTTGTTTCTAATATCCATCTTGCAAGCAACTTCTGATGTCAAGAAGCTCGCCAAATGGTACAGAGAAAATGCGTTTTGTGCTTAGCTTTAGAGAATGAAAGAACTGACCTTGTATTCCAAAGTTTTAATTTTCTTCTCCAGGCGTTCTAGCTCCATTTTCTGTCCTGCTATTGTTTTCTCTTTTTCAGACAGTTTTCCTTGAATATAGTTTTCTTTGGATACAACACTGGAGTCAAATTCTTGCAGCATTGTTTTAAATGCAAGCACTGCAAGAGAATCAATACTTTTCATCTTCTCACCATATCACCATAATATCAAAAGCAGTTCCGTTTTTCTCCTACTTATTTAATGCTACCAGCTATTTCCTTACCTCAAAAGAGTTTTTTTTTTTTAAATTATCAGTCTAGACAAAATACTTATTTCCTGTTGGTACAGAAGAGATCCCTTGAGCAGTAATAAGGGCGCCAAAAAAAAAAATCTAACTCCACACTGACGTTCAAATTCTTACCGTTTTTGGCAAACTCCTCTGACAACATTTGTCGTAGTTTTTGGCGGTTTTCCAGGACCTCAATAAGTTTTGGAAGTGTTTGATCATCATTAACGTCCAATAGCTCACATGAAGGCAATGGAGGAAAGTTCTGCAAAAACATTTCTGAAACAGATTGCTCTTCTGTTTCTGTAAGATATAAAGCCAAGACAGTCTGTCAGCAAGCTACAGAACAGAAAAATTCCATTTGACAATGCACAGCCACAGATCATTCATTCCACAGTACGATGAAGCAGACAGAACTTAGAATAATTAATGAGAACTAGAAGTTTTCAGAAGAGATGACAGTGTTGAGAAAACATTAAATGTGACATTCTCGATTCATTGCTTTATAATACCTCCAGGCAACTCTTGATTTCTAAAGTAGGCCCCAAGCATACAAAACCATCGAGAGTCATCCTCAGCACAATTTCCTTTCAGGAGCTGCAATAACGGGACCATGAACTCAACTCCTCGCCAATAACAAAGAATTACTTTGAGACTTACACAGTAACTGGGTTTGTACTACAAGGAGCACTGCAGTGTGAAAAGAGCAGCCCCTTTTGCAGAGAAGGTTCGGAACTAACAGTTAAGTGAAGTTCCTTTTGCACTTTCAAGGCTCAAATAACTTGTTTTAAAATAGCCTTCGACTCCTAACAGAAAAAAACACTGTGCTGGAACCACCTAGCATTCTAGTATTTACCTCCATTTATCGGGCCACCTCGCATCTCCAATTTCCGTGAGAGTTCCTCTCTGAAGGCTTGATTCCTAAAACGCCGTCCTGGCGTTAAGCCACAGAGCGGTCTATCAACAGGTCTCGCAACTTCAACTTCCTGGGTCATTTCTGCAAAGCGCATGACTTGCTACAAAAGAACAAAAGGAAGCTTAACAACAAAACTAACCACCAGCAGTCCAAAGGAAGTTTGAAAGTGATACCTTAGGTCAATAAAAGCATTAGAGGAGACATTATCAAGCTACGATCTCAAGTGCTTGCCAGCTAGATAGCTTGTGATTCTGAAGCGGAGCATCCAGAACCCTTCCTACTAACACCTCCCCGACCTCAGCCCCCACGGAACCATGAAACCAGCTGTGGAGATAGCTGAATTTTTTGCAAGTATTGTCATAGTACAATCAAGCACCTAAATACAGCAGAGTATTTGGACTTCTGTAAATAAGAGAAACTTTTCCTATTTTACGGGCAAGTAGCAGTTGTCGTTTTTAAGAGGAAAAAATAAGACTTGGAGGGCACGTTTGCCTTACAGTATTATATTTGATTACGAGTGCCCAAGCAACAAAATATATCATTCCTGTCACCTACTAAACAAGTACAGTAATTCAGTGATAAACACGAAAAAAAGAGTAGGGGGGAATGAGGCAAGATCTGCAAGGAAGTTACCAAGCTTTCCTCGTAGTCCTCAGCTTTAGGATTAACACACACAATCATGCGCACTTTTCCTTCACCATCAAAATAGTTCTTGAAGAGATGAGTCAGTTTGGAATCTCTGTACGGGACCATCTTAAAGTAAAGTACGAGAAAGATTTAGTAAGCTTTCATTACACCGGATCTTCATCAAATCAAAGATAATTAGATAACGGGTTGCATACCTTATTTGTTCCATACATCTGGTTTTCCCGTAGAACTTCAATACATGTTCTTAATGTCATTAGTGATTGATTAATATTACCTTAAAAAAAAAAATACAAACAAGCCTCTGTAAGCAGCCATTTGGATCATATTCCCAAATTATTTAGCAGTTTACTTAAGAATAAATTGCCTGGACTTAAGTTATATTTGTTACAGATAACTGCTCTAATTAACTGAAGTATCAGAATATGTGCTACTAAAAATTTCTGGCTTCCAAACTGGAGGATTTCAGGTCATCGAATCAGACAACTGAACATCATAACAGAACACTTCAATTCTTCCTATGATTTCTCTCCTAGGAGACAAGACTAATACGAGCATATATTAGCACATAAAATTACCAGGCTGTCTAAAGGTGATACGTACCTGCTTCTCGCAATCTGTTCCCTTCAGCTTTCGTTCTGTTAGTTCTTTCACTTCCAGCCAGATCAACTAAAGACAGCTGGCTTAAAGTGATCTGTTCTTTCTCCTATTACAGAAAACAAAGTACGTTAGGCTAATGATTAGCTCTATATTCCTTCTGATGGGGTGGGGGCAACACCCCCCCACCCCCAAATCAGCATGCATACTTAAACAATATGCATTGCACCTTTAAATAAAGTCCGGGGGTGTTTTTATAGCCCTTAATGCAAGAAGCTGTGCACCGCTAGCTTTTTTTGTGAATATGTTTAGCAGATCCCTTCTGTCTTGGGCCACAAGACAGATAAAACAACCGAGCTCATTCAAATCCTCCAAGTTTTAGATTCTGAACAGTTTTTGCTCAAAAGCAGCAGAGGTAAAGAACAAAGGAATAAGCAGCTTCGCACTCCGTTTTAATGCTCTACTTCCATCACAAAAAGCAGACTAACTCTGTCAAAGACTAAAAGTTTAATAATCTTGATTTCCTTCAAAATGAAATTGCTAACGAGCAAGCCGTGCATGCCCGAGACACGGTAACTGTGTCAGCCGGCCACGCTGCAAGGGTCACCACCCTTCCCAACCTACACACGCGTGCGTACGCGTGCACAGTTCTCCTTTAACAGCCTGCCCCGGAACTCACCTGCAGCACATTATCTCCATCTGCATCCAGCGGTGCCTGAGCCAACTTTATTATAAACACACTGTGAGAGCGGCTAGATTCTCGATTCAGCTGCGTGTTTGCAATACGCCTCTTCTTTTGACCTGTTTAGAAGAAGAACAAAACCAATCCCTCCGAAAACGTGTTTTATTTAACAGACTTGCCACCTGGCAAAGCCAATTCCGTCTTCAGCACCATAGTGAAAAGGATTACACATCTGTACTGAATTTAAGAAGCGATATTCTAAGATTTACCTCTCCAAAACACTTCAAAAGCTTCTTCTGTAGATTTCACCTCTACTTCTGTGCATCCTGTGACATACATGTTGTGGTTCTGGTCCTCACGAAGGATTTTGGATTGTGGAGGTCTTAAGAACATGGAGGAAATAAACCAAAAAACCCCACTAAAATTGAGTGGCTTTTTCTGAACAACAATACATTGTGTCATGCAAATTTTCTTTTAAGTACAAAATTCAGACTGAATATGTCAATCATCCATACAACAGATGGAAGAGGAAGTACAAGTACATGGACACACATTCAGCCAAGATTAGTTACACTTCAGCTACTGCTTTAATTTAGAAGCTACACTTAATTGCAATTCTTACTGGAAATCATGGGTTTGGGTGACAGCTATTGTTTTTCTACATGCATACAGAAGCAAGATGGCTTCAACAGTGTTCTATATTCGCTAGTGAAGCAAGAAGAGATAGGGAGTCAGTGTGAACTCATTTTCTGCTTCTACCGAAAGAAAAAGTCACTTTTCAATATTCAGAATAATATGCTTATTCACATACATAAAGTCACCATTTCGCACAGGAGTGTTGCAATTGTTCCACCTACCAAAAAAACAGGGTTAAAAAAAATATTAAGTCATTCAGCTTGCGTCTAAAATCTTTTTATATATAATATACTGTAGCTTCCATAAATAGAAATAATCCAGGATTCTTCATAGGCTGATTTTTGGACATAGGCATAATACTAAACCAATAATTTTATTCTTCTTTAAAAAGCATTCACAGGCATTCAAAGTTATCGTTAGTCTTTGTAAATCAGCCATCTCTTTAATTAATACATGCACCGATGGATATGCATAGGGATTTCTTTAATGGATTTAGAATTTTAAAAATATATTTAAAGTTTAATTTGCAGACTGTTTTTCTGGCAGTCTCAAGATTTACTGATTTTAGACATCAGCCAGGGACACACCCTTCCAAAAAATACCCAGAATTTCATTTATGAGACAACTCATTTCTGGCTTTATGGAGATTACTGACATCAAGTGAAATAACATGCAAACTTGCATTAACTGTAAAGCAACAACAAAATAGCAACTTTTGCCCAATGCACTGTTTCCAGGAGAAAAATGTCAGCTATGGAATGGCTTACTCTTCAAGTTGCAGTCACCTGCTAGGAATAGCACAAGCAGAATAGCATGAATAGACTTCGAACCTCAGTGGGATACAACATGCTGCCTAACAAATTAAATATTTGCTTATTAATCTCCCATTATAACAAGGAAGAGAGCACTAAGTCTTAGCGGCAACAGGACAACTATCAGTACTTGGCACACTTAAACGCTATTGTCTGGACTCCTTGGGCATCCCCTTTTCCATGTGATTTTTGCAGTGATTTCTACAAATTGAGCCAGACTCGCCAATACTACAGCCACAAAGGCATACTACAGTTACCACAAAAGCGTAACTGAAGCAGGAGTAATGGTATTCATAAAACTAACTTTGGTTTTATGGGATCAAAGGGAGCTTCCTCCAAAAGGTCATAGATGTAGTTGTTGTAGATCTCAATATAGGAGACAAAGACACTGTAGACATTATCTTCATCAACTTCTTCCACTTTGCAGTGATCTTGCACATTGATCATATCAGCAAATTCTGGATCTATCTGTCGCCTGTTGAACACACACAAGAAGCGATTTAGTGGAGCATCCCCAGCCAACTAACATGTCAGGCAGTGACTACACAATTAAAAAGCAGGTCTACCAACAGACAGCATAATTCGAGTATGGAAGCGCTCACACTAGCAACTAATGACAACGCATCCAGTCACATTAGACTAAAAAAAGCACTCTGAAAAAGCTTAAGTAGATGAACTTCCATCTGACACTGCTGTACTCGGCTGCAGTAAGAAACGCCTTGCAAAACTCCTGGATAGTCAACATGTCTGTCCTCCATTCAGCAATCTCATTATTTCACAAAATATCCCCAAGTTTAACTTCACAGTATTCCTACTTGAAGTCGCAGCATTTTACTCATGAGTCAACAGGTACAAAATACAGACTTCTGTTGCCTGATTCTAAGTCTTCTAATCTAAATACTTAATCATGCAATTGCTCAGACCACATGAAATACACTAGCTTTCCATTAATATTTTCCTTTCCTTTTTTCAAGGGAAGGACAAAGAGACCCAGGGCAGTTAAAACCACAACTTCAGAATAACATTTACATTAACTAAATTCATTCTGCATGTTACAATAGTTACTTACTTGCCAGATGGAGTTTTTGGAACAGGCATGGCATCTCTTTTCTGGCGCTCTAATAGAGCATCTACTTCACACTGAACATCCACACCATTCTTGTCATCGAGCTTAAAAACCTGAGCCGCGAGTATAGTATGTTTAGACAATATAACGACAAACACTACAGAACATAAGGTGTTGGCCAGCAAAACAAATTATTTGATCAAGCTGTCTGGCAACCAGCAAATACCATGCCCCTCACTAACACTCAATCTGCTGGCTAATGCGAAGCAGATCGGACAGAAAACAGGTATTTCCAAGATAACAATATTTCATAAAAGCTCCCAAGCTAGCATGCTACCAAAGAAAAGACTTCCAGTATTATTTCAAACATATTTAGATACCAAAACTCCAGAGATGTTTGGCCACAAGAAAAGCTGCACATCTTGTCCTATATTATTTTAGATATGGCTTCCTGTGGCTTTTGTATCTTGTGGCTGGATTGCAATTCCAAAAAAATTGGGAGGCTTCCTCTTTCCTTTTCTATTGTTTCTAAAAAGTTAAAGAACGAGCAACAATTGTAAGGATAGCCAGACCATACATCTTCACGAAACGTCCGTCCTAGCTACTACGCCTGCCTCCTTGGCCCCGCTCTTCAAATCTCAAGGGGGTGGGATCTTTTCGGTTGGTTTCCTTTTTGAAGTGTTCCAGTCACATGACTAGACAGGAGATAAACACTTTGAACAGAACCTTTTTTTTTTCCCCAGTGTTTTTAGGCTGGTACAAGCAACAGCGCAGAGAACTCAGTGCAAAACTACTCACAAATCTCTTGGCCTGGAACGGTCCTATGCTGTTGAAGATCATATCCAAACACCGCGGGAGAAGTCCTCCATCACCAGGAGATCCTGTCATGGTGTGTGTTTTCCCACTGCCTGTCACACCATATGTGAAAAGAAGACCTAGGGGGGACAGGAAAGTTACGCAGTCATGCTTGTTGTCTCAAAAAAAAGCTCAGTTACAATCACACGCCTTGTCTTTCTCGGGTCAAATGGATTTGGAAGAAACAATGACTCCTTTTCATAGAATCATAGAATCGTTTAGGTTGGAAAAGACCTTTAAGATCATCCAGTCCAACCATTAACCTACACTACCAAGGCCACACTAAACC